TAAGGTGGAATTGCAAAAGGTCGCCTTGCTCTGCAGTGCAGTTTACTCAGAGTCTCACTCTATTGTTAGCCTATTGCTACAGCACGGAGAGGATGCCAACGAGGTGTTCTCAATAACAGATCCTTATGGGATTGAAGACCTAACGACAGCGCTTGATATGGCAGCGGAAAGAGGACTTTTGGATATTTTCATATTACTAATGGAACATAAAGCCGCCAAAACGACCACTCTTGCCAACTCTACTGATCTTAGCCTTCTGGAGAAGGCTATAATTGCAGAAAAAATAAACATAGTTTCGTTTTTACTTACGGATAGTAGTGTGAGCATAACCTATTCTCTTTATCTCTTCCATATCTCCAATTTGCTACAATTTGGTGTGCACTTTCAAGAGTAGTAGTAGTCACAGAGGCTAATGTGCTAGTTTTTTAGGCGATTGAGTATGTGAGAACTTTCCACGGCAATGATATGTTAAGACCTTTGGCCATTGCTTTATGCGGAAAATATTTTGACTGGATTTATTTAGTAATACAGCACTACGCTCCTACTCCGCGTTTGAAGGGATTCGTATATGATATGCCCATTCAAATATCCTGGCATTGGAGAGTTAACTTGCTGCTTCTTCAGCGACTTAATCTCTCAGAGACAACATCGACATTTGAGACATCGCAAATATTTTCACTTTGGAACTCGCTGCTAAACCGAGACAAGTCTAAAGTTGGTTCAATATTACGCACCGCGAGGAATGAGAGACACTTTGCCCTTCTTGTTGCAGTGGGTGGGCGATCTTATGAATTGGTCAAACTTTTGATAGATTCTTGCGGTGCCAACGCGGACGGCGACCCGGCAAATACCGCGTGGGATACGCCTCTTATCTCTGCTATCCAGGCCAAAAACAAAGATTCAGCAGAGTATCTTCTCCTGAGTGGGGCAGATGCTAATAGGACAAGCAAAACTTGGAGATCTCCACTTCATGCATGTATCGCTGTCTATGCTAAAAAGAATCCCAAGTTGATGGCCAGCTTTGCTTATATGCTAGTACAGGCTGGCGCGGATCTAAATGTGGTGGATGAAGATGGAAAGTCTCCAATGGAATATCTCGCCGTACTCTGGGAAAACAGTGATAAGAAAATTCGAAAATTACGCAAGGTCCTAGAGGAATGGGGTTATTCCTTTGACACTCGAGTGTAGTGACTCGGTTTTGTCGTTTCACAAATGCGAGTTTGGTCTTCTTTCACATGCTTATAATACCGAATTGTAAATCTAGATTGAAGGGCACATAGTATAGCGATGCGGCAACGCTCAAGGTAGCTCAAGATTGACAATACAGTGAGTGATTCGATCTGCACAACATTTGAAACAGAGTAGACTTCTCAGCGTATCCGCAATTTTGTGAACATGTTCTTAAATTTAGCTGTGTGTCTATGTATTGCTAAGTCTCCGAAACATACGGTATGTTGAGTAAATGCCAACTGCAGTTGAATTGATTGGCCTTGCAAATTCAACTTTAAACCAATGTTTGCTCAAGTGATTTTGTAGTACCACTGCACGACTTTTAAGCTCATTGTTTGCAAAATTTGACAAAAGGCTTTTAGGAATTTCGATTTGTCTGCTCGCGGATAGTGCATAACTACAACACTGCTATTTCTTCTAAACAGTACCCTCGACTGGCTACCACTCTCGATCTCGCATCAAATGAGAAAAACCCAGGGTTCAGATGATAGCCGGGAAGATAGAAGCTATAGTAATTAGTGACGATGATGTCAGACCCATCGTATCATGAGTAGCTCGAGTTGCTTGATTTCCCTTGATTTTGATTGGAATGTTGCATAATAGTAATCCCGTCCCCAGTTATCAGAGAACAAAAATCCCACGTCCCTCTCTCGAGGCGTTCAGTCTCCATTGAATCCGCTCTTAGATCCGTACTGTTGAGACTCAACTCCATGATCGATCCTTAGATCATAACGCCCAAACCACCCTAACAGCTAATACAGCTAATAGAACTATAGACATCAAAGAAGAACCCCTTATTCCATCTTCGGCAAATCCACAACAACAACAAAAGGCTTACAATTCGGCCTCATCCCCTTCGCCGTATTCATCATAATAGACGCATTAACCATAAGCGTCTGCTTCCCAACTTTCACAAGCCACTCATTAGCATACGGATACTCATTAACCTGTTCCGTCTCCAACGGCGTTGCTGGTTCCGGATCCTTCACACTGCCATCCTCTTTCCAGGTGACGATGTTCGCACCATGACCTTCGTGGATATGGCCAAAGCAATGTAGTAGAGGTCTAACACGACCGACTGCGCGGAGAAGATTAGGACAGCCTAATGATTGGCTGTCGACTTGGTCTAGTATCGAACGTGGAGGACCGTGGGTCATGATGATGTCGATGCCTGAAGGAATCGTGTGTCCTCCGATTGATGTCATTCCAGGAGATGTTTGATTTTGAGTGTTGAAACGGTCTTCGTGGTTTTGGTATTGGAATCCCCATCCACCAGATCCAGGTGTATAAGGCGAAGCATACACACTAAACTTAGCACCATTTTTGAGTGTCAAGCTATGCGTTCCTTCCTCAAAATATGTAACGCCCGCCTCTTTCGCCAAAGAACCCGTCATTATCTCCATCGCCTGCTCATGGTACTTCTTGTATTCTTCGTCCGACAGGTTCTCGACTCTACGAACTTTATCGAGTGTCATGTCGTGATTACCTGCAATGACCAATTTCAACTCTGCGTCGATACTGCCTATCATCTTCACACTGTCTCTCAATGCGTCTAGTTCTCCGAAGTTTGTAAGATCCCCTGTATGTAGTAAAACATCGACCTGTGGCATAGTGGTGCCGTCTAGGGAATGCTCGTGGGTGTTTGAGACGACCATCACACGAGTTGGAATGGTAGGTCCTGCCATCGTTGCAGCTGAATGTTGTTTCAAAAGAGTTTAATTTCGTTGACTGTTAATCTTTTGTTTTTTGAGGACATGTATTTTCGGCTCCAGAAACAAAATGGTGGAGTGGCTTGACACTGATTCGAGAGGTACCACCTTCTCATCACAGTGTTTGGGTCGTGCTTGCCGGTATGTTGGGAGTTTTTGCCGAACTTATGCCCCTTAATAAATGTTGACATGAAGTAGGTAGTCCGCTTCAAACTCAATAAAGTCTAGACCACTTGAAATTTAGTGCTGGTCATTAGGGACTTGTCGTTAGGTTGAAAAAGTAACGTTAGATCGAGCGGGTAGATCCCGTGACTGGAACAAACGACTACCACCTCTTTCCCACAATCCTACATCTCAAGTACTATAAAATAATTATAAGTAAACTAATTCCAAGTATGAGCTTACTGGCTTAATAGATAGGATCGGGTTTGTTAAACGTAAAAAGTTTCAACTTTCAAGTGGACTCTGAAAAGGAATCCAGAAGACAAATAAAGGAGAGACTGTAGACAATGGAAAAGCCTCATAAGTTCTCGAGGATAGATCCGTCTACAGACGACTCAAAATTGCAGACGATTCCAGAGGAAAGGTGCTAATTATCGATATGAAGAGCAATCTAAGCTGGATGTGGCAGGATACGTCACTGAAAAGTCCATCTTGTGCAGATACGTCTATTTTAAACGAGCCTAAAATATAAATGCAATCCTACCGAGCAACCACTTAAGCATGGATACTAATCAATATAGCCTTATACAACACTTGACGCTCACGCTTGAGGTAATATCTTGAAACCCTTACTTGAAGTTGATAATATGAGTGAAAGTATATTTCGAGTCAAGCAACGGTCGAAAAACACTTTAGTTTCGTCTGGATTAACTAGCGTCATAAGCATCTCATATATGGAAAGAAGTAATGTCAAAAAATGGAAGACCTGGTGTTACGAGATCAAACAAATATCGTGCTCTGACAACTACATTTTTTTAATTATTCGCGAGGATGTCTCTCGGCTTTGGGGTAATGCTTTTGGATAATGTGTTGAAATGATCCCCAGAATCAGATTCAGAATTGAGAGACAATGATATAAGAGTCACCCTAACCAAAAATCTTCTTTCTTTGCTTACACTGAAAATAGAATAAAGTCGAGTCACGAGACTCTCTCTTACAGACCTCATCTTTGAAGTGAATAGCAAATCGAATCAGCCGTTTTGACCCACTCATATAAAAAAATTTAATCTTGGACTGAGATTATTTTGGCGAGTTCCCAATTCTCATAGCCAAGTTTGGACGCGGAAATATTCTCTCACCTACTCTGCGACGGATTTCCAGTTTTTTATCTGGACAGGACATTTGAAGGCCGCAGATATCTCATGTTTCAGACGAACGAGACGAGAAAAAGAACCTGGATATCTAAAAGACATCCTTACCAAAACTTCAGCGACATTGTTTCATAAGTATGAAAACAAGCTTCATCTCAACCATCTGCACCTGACGCGAATCCTCACCTGTCCTCCAGCATCGGAGCACGTCACGCGTAGATCGCAAACAACATCCATAAATCCTGGCATATTTCACACAAATACGTACTTCAGTGGCACATTTCCTTTCTTGAAATTCGTCGCGGTAGTCCTTGTTTCTGTGTTGCCTGTGCCATGGTCTGGCCCAGAATGCCAACAATACCGTGTACACGTACCACGCGCAACTGCGCTGGACAACCCCCTTGCGATACGCGAGCGAGATTCAGACCTCACCGAACTGAATGTTTGCTTGATGCGCCGAGCAAGTTTGTACTTCCGTACCTGACTCTCATTCGAGTGCGAAATTCGCGGCCTCACCGAATATGTTGTCGCTACGTTACAAACTTCCTCGCTCTTCTGCAACACAATTTCCAAGTACCCGTCAGCCTCACCGTTGTACAAACCATCGTGTGGCTCACGACCAGGCAGCCTGAAAGCCAAACACACCGCCAGCATGCGAGTCTGTTGGTTGGGTCAGGCGCAGTCAGGCTCACACAGATCTAGTATCTGGGGTGTGCTGATTGGCATATGTTGGATACGATGGCGGGGAAAGAGAAGCTGACAGCTGAAGCCTGGAAAAAGGAAAGTTGCGGATGTCGTTGTGTTGCCCAAATCTGGAGTACGCTCACGAGACATACTTTGAATACGCGTATCGTTGGTCTACTCCGTATAGTATTCCGTTTCCTTATGGAAGGGGATTTGAGTTAAGCCTCATCCTATTAAGACGTTATTTTCGCGCTTCCTGTATCGCAATCCTTGAGTTCGTTTCATTGCGTTTGCCAACCAACAACACACCGTACTTCGTACAAACATAAATCACCCCCATCAATCACCTATTCAGAACAGCCCACCACATCCCATCCCATCCAAACCCAACTCAAATCCCCTCCCCTCACAATCACAATTTTATTATTTACATACCCTCAACTCACTCAACCCATCATGGCACCAGAACCACCCCATCCCATCCCCATTCCCACCGCATCCTCGGAATTATTAATCGCTCGCGCTTCCAGATCTCGCAGCTTTCAAATCCATATTTGAAATCCGATATGCAACCTCCCCCTCTCCCTCGCTTCCCCTATCCGCGTGCGCTCGCTTAGAAATAAAGTACGTACGATGTAATCAAAGAACCCCAAACTCCAGCTCTCGATCGCATGGCCGCTTACCCAAGCGTCCATCCATTCACTCAAACAAACCTCCCCAAATCTCAATCAAAGCAAATCAATCATTCACCACACTGGCAACCCCCTCTCATTCTATCCCCCTCATGCCAAGCAAACCCCCCTAAAACTCCTGAAGTTTGTTTGCTCGTACATCGTTCCTCGTTCTCGTTTTCGCACTCCTATCCCAACGCCAAGCACGGCTTTTGAATGGAACCACGCAGCACGCGGCAGGGCGCAGAAAGTCCAGGGCTAAGCGAGCCAGGGGTCCGTCGATCCAGCGGTGAAAGTGGAAGACCGAGAAGCCGGATGCCGTATGCTAAATCGTTCGTGACTCACGCACATGCCTATAGAAAGTTTTCAGAGAGCCAGTGAAGAAAAAAAAGAAGTGAAGATTGAGATTTTTAATTTTGTGGAGTCACGAAGGCGAAGGAACTAGAAAGAATGATGATGGTTTTCTGAATGTTTTTGAATTTGATTTGATTTAATTGCTAGACTAGCTCTACCGTCGCGAATTGCGCGGGAGCTGGAAATCCCCAACCGACCAGACCAATTTCTGGTCCCCGTTTCTATATCCTGAGTGGTGAACTGTTTCCCTATATATGTATATCCCAATCCCTTCCCAAAGCGGAAGTATCCTAGCTCCAAATATGATGACAATGAAAAATGTTTGGTATTCTGCAAAAAACGCCGGTTGTATATGCATCGCTACGCTGAAAATCGCTAGACCAAAAGAACTCAAATGCTTCGTAATCGTTACAGTGCTATCGTTGCTTGACTTAATAGACGCTGATGGCGCTTACGAGACCCGGGCCCCGCTGAGGGAGGTAGAAGTTCTCCTCATAGGCGGGTATTGAGTTTGAGCTTTCTGTTGGTTGTGACTTGGAGTAGTAGGATGTGGTTGCGATCTGGCGGCGTTCCTTTTCTGAGAATGTTGGGAGCGATGTTGATGGTGGAGATGGTGGCATTGATTCGTCTTCTGACGAGTCTGAATCCGAGTCGAGTTCTGGTGGTGATGTAGCGGAGTGGGAGTTGGTTCGGTGTAAAGATAATGAGGCGTAGTCTTCCTCCTCATCGTCCTCGAATTCCTCCTCTACTTCCTCCACTGCGGTCACCTGTTGTCGAGATGCTACGCGTTGTAATGTTGCCATGTGTGAAGCCATCTCGATATCCTCATCGCTGTCATATTCAGAATCGCTGTCTGATTCCTCTACGTCCTCTGCTTGCCAATCCTCCTCTGGGTCCTCGACAATGGTATCCGCCCATTGGATATGCTTTGGTCCTTCTGTCTTTGTAGCCTTCTTGACCGATTGGTTGAACCAGCTCTCTTGTTCTTGTTCTGCCTCTGCGAGCTCGAGCATCAGGGAATCGAGAAGGTTGGCATGGCCGACGAGGAGTCTGAGGTTGTGATCCGAGCGAGCAGCCTCATGAGAGAGCTTGCCCCGGGCTGTGTGAGCGAGGTAGTAGGTTTGAGTGACCGACATTGCCTTTCTTTTCAATGGAGAGACGGAAGAGGAGTTGGAGAGTGGTGATGAAGAACGAGTCGACATTTTGGGCGGTGTTTTAATGTTATTGCTGCGAACTGAATGACTCAAGGCTGCAACTTTTTTAGACGAGGCCGAGGGCCGGTGAACGGAACAGTAACCGAAACGGTAGTCGTGGTTAGGTAAGGGTTGATGTCGTGATGGAGAATTGTTCTAGTTGATGATGAGTGCGTTTGAATGTTGATGGCGATTGTTGATTGCTTTAGTCTGTTCTTGAGTAGGCTGATGTTTGTTGTAGTTGTTGGTGTTGATGGAGTGAGAAGGAGTCTTTGGTCAGGAGGAGGAGGCTGCTTCTTGTATCTGGCTGACTTTGTGTACGTTCCCGGCTTCGTACCAGGTTTAGCTGGGCGTATTCATAAGACCGACAAGCTCCGCGTCTCCTTTGTTCGTAAAAGCCGGTGCGAGAGTGCCAGGGGACGCGAAAAGGCGGAAGGACTTTCGACATGGATGCCTTCTGTCCCCTGCACAGAGTGATGATGCGAGGATGTGCAATCGACCCGACCCACGCCAGCCTTAACGCCAACGACGCCAACGATTTCAAATGTCAGCGGTGCGGGTGCGGTGCTCGCTTTTCTCAGCACGCGAGAGCCCGCCGCCCGCGTAGACGGTGACTCGTCTGTGACTGAGGCTTGCTCTGGCTGGCTCGGGGGCATATTTCGACCGATCAAAGGGTGCGAAAGGTACTTCGGAACCTTCTTTGACTGGCTGCGAACGTATCGACCTCAAGCGAGTCGTGCGGACTTTTGATTTACTCATCATCCGGCTCTATGTCCGTGGGTGAGCAATGCAAATGCAATAGCCAAAGCCAAAGCCTGGAATATTGCACTGTACTGCACTCGAAATGAGTCGATATCACTGCTGCTATCCATCAGATGTCTCCTACGGAGATGTGCATTTCTGCGAGACCTCATCGTATAGCCTACACTATCTCCTCTACCCGTTCATGCAATTGATCCATTGGACAAACATGCCAAACGCCCTACCGTCTTTCTGTACATGCGATGACAGTGAGGTGAGCCCTTGTTTAAGCTTCCCCACTGGATTACTGTGCTCACAACACCCCAACGCATCGGGTTTAGAGATGACAAAACCACTCTGGAAGCGTGCAGACCATGATTCTACTCTGGAGCGCTGTGACAAAGCATTCGGCATGACACCATATGTTTTTAAATCAGATTATTCAAACACCGATAAATTTGTTTGGTACTGATGTTTTATGTTGTCGCTGTTAATTAATCAATTGGATCACGAAACATCGCCAATCCACAGCGCATTTTTGGCCAGATGCTCTAGATCTCGATTTCAAAACATCCCCAACTGGCCTCTCATGCAACATGCTGGCATCGTCCTTTGATCGTTCAGATGAAGGACTGGTCCGCAATTTTCGAATTGAGATCAAGGGCCCCATCATCTGACTGTTCCAATTTCCTGGATGAAATCCCACACACAGCCTCCACGGCGACGAAACGACTTCGCCGACAACCAAAATCCGACATCTTATGTGCCCAAACAGGAAATTCCGTGCGCTGTGAAATCGTTGATGCCACGTTTGACCGTGACGAATAAATCTGGGGAAGCGAAATTATTCGGTAGCCTGAACGTCGAACCCTCCGCTTTCAGCAAGCCATTCGTGCCACATTCCACCGCCGTCTCGGTCCCGAATGCGAATGGTGTACCTCAACCAATCAGAACACACGGGCTGAAAGAATGTCCCCATGGCGGATGAATAGAATTGCGTTGTATGGCTCTGCGCACGTAAGCTGGCTCGTAACGTATCAACGCTTCTGCACGCAAACACGCTCGCACATCTCAGGCAGCCGAATTTTTGAAGCTATCATGGAGACTCCGAACGTGCAGAAGAGCGGATGCGCGTTTGTTTGCTGGGAGATGAATTAAATGAGGCTATGTTTCGCAACTTCTTCGATTGCTCTTCTTAGTGACTCTTCGTGCATTTGCAAGTTGCACTTCATTGCTTGCTCGAGTGCGGGTATGAGTTTGTCGTCTTGGTTTCCTCATTTGGCTATGCTCGCTGTAGAGTCATCAGACTCGCTTCGCTTATTCTATATCCTGAAATCCATAGAAGTTTCCGAGAGATTTAGAGATCTCCGGGGAGTTTCCATTCACTCTTGAACGAGAATGCCAATTCAAGCTCCATTATTCAGGGATCCATATCAGAACTCGCTCACGGCGACCACGGCACACATTCATCCCGACTCTTCATCGTACCGGTCCATTATCTTGTAAGAACCCGATAGCTATAACAAGTCGTTCTCGTGATGAGGCTACTATCTTCCCCACGTTCTTAAATCTTATACACTTTCTGTCAAAATCATGGGTCACAGATCACAGGTTCAAGCAATCCGCGGCCTCCGACACATTTCCATCGTTTACTCAACTTATCACCCCGCACAACGACATAGAATTACGACTTACTTTTAACTTTCTAGGGGTCCTATATCTCTGATACCGAATCCGAGGCTCTTCAATTTCTAAACATTCAGATAAATGATTACTCTCCTCACAAGGCTCATGTACCTTTCGTACCCAAACTAGCCTACCAAAACCCAACCCCACCATCGCATTCGCACTCACGAAGCGAAAGCCTCCACAAAATAAAGTTATCTGATGTGTGCCCAGCAAGGGACCGACCCAAAAGCTCAGAGTCTCTGAAAAGCCCGGACATGAAAGCCACACGCCCACGGATTCCGTCGTCAAAATCGTTCCGAGCACCACGGCCGTAAGCTACGCCGCACGCTGATTGGCAAGGAAACGAGAATGAGTAATCTCGAACTCCTTCATGCACGACGTACAAGGCTGGGAATTGGCGTTTCTTGTCCCCGAACAGCGGTCGAAACGATGGATTTAAGCTGGACTCTCCAATTCGCTATTTAAGCGAATATCTAGGGGATGGCGTTTTCGGATTTAATACTTTGATTGTCAGCATGCGTTTTGGCTTTGGAATAAAAGAAGCTGCTGATCCCCTCACTAATTATCGCGGTGTTATGCGCCAGATGACGGATTTCGGAATTAACGTTACTGAAAGTTTATCAATCATGTATCTCCATGGCTTCGAGTCGTAAGTCGGTTTCTAGATCTCCTTCACGTCATTTTTTCATACAGCCTTTTTTTACCAGCATCAAAGCAACATACATACACCTAGCATACCCGAGCGTCAAACGGGAAAACTCGACGAAAAGAACTCGCGGTTATGATAGAGATAACGGCTACGTCGCATATACACAGACAAAACTACCTCATGGCTGGAAGGACAGTTCCTCGAATCGACGATTGTTGAGTTGTCGCAGTTGCTTCGGCATGTCGGCGGCTTTGTTTGGTGCTGACAAGTCTCCGAGGGTTCTCGCAAAGTTCTCTTATTGGACAGGCCGCATTTGACGATGACTGGACGTACGAATTACCGCTTTGGGAATTTTACGTTCGTGGTTGGGGGCTTGAGGGAGTTTGACGTGATGTAGGGTGGTTTTGGGAAGTTAGGTTTCTGGCGCAGTGGTTTGAGAAGTTTAATATTGGAGGAAGTCTAATATTGAAGACCGATTCGTGAGTTCAGGGAAGCGCTGAGTGCTCGTAGCTCTACGAGGAGCTCGTGGGCTGACTGTATGCACGTGGGGCGAGATGATAAGGATTTATGGTTCCGAAGCGCTGGTTAATGGACCGCCAGGGCAAGTCAGAGTTCATTTCCAGCACTTCAAGCAAAACAGTGTATGAGGATGGGGTGGAAATGAATTCTGACACCTTCCAGTGGGCTTTGATGAGAAGAATCTATGGATACAAAGTGTTGGTCGCTGGGATTATATGAGCAGTGGTCTTTGCGACGATTGATGGAGCTCAGCGAGATGAAAGGCAGCACGTGGAAATGCAAATAAGCATAAGATGTTGGGTAGCGAAGTGGAGAGAATGAGGTGAGATTCATTTAGGGCTGATGATATAATTTAGGACGACACGAGGGACGGGAGACAACCTACCGCATGTCGAAATTCAGCTCGATAGACTCGAGTTTCAATTAACTTAGGAGGTACGGAAATTACTGGCCACGGCAACGCGATATGGCTCTTCTTTTACGGAGCCAGTACTTACGAGATATCAGGATTCAAAGCCGAATTCGATATGGATCTGGAAGCCAGTACCTTTCCTGGTTGATTCTGGCACAAAGATAAGCCTTGTGTGGTAGATCGAGACGAGCCGGGGAAATTTGTCGAAGGGATGTGGCTATCGTCGTCCGTCAATCCGAGGATTCATACCAAACCATCAAGTTTATCCCGTCGAAAATTTCAAAGGTAGGGTTGCATACCCAAGGATGTCGAAAACTCTCCGTTTGTGAATAATCTGTCTTATTGTGGATACAGTTACTGCTGCAAACAAAGAATTTCTGCCCAAGAATTGGAAGATTCACAAGCAAGTGCTTTCTCAACCCCAAGACTCTATCATTCAGAGAAATCTGTCATTTCATGACTGAGTGGGGCAAAGCAAACGGTTTGATGAGCGGAAGTCAAAGAAATCCTTCAGACATTCAAAAGTGCCAAATTTTGACACTCGGGTGACGGTAAGTTTGTGTTTAGCTCTATTTCTCTTTTCATTTGTTTGGTAGTTTCTCTAGTCTAGTTGTGTGCATATATTTGGATGTATATAAGAAGGGAAGACAAATCTTATCTGTGAGATGTTCATTTCCAACATTCACATGTCTGAATTTCTTGTCCTAAAGCAAAATGGACTCTCCAGCAGCTAGTGCTACCTGAGAAAGTGGGCACTCGGGAAGTAGATGCACAGTACTCAGTCTAAAAATGACCATGGGAAAAGGGTCCATTGGCTGTTGGGGAGAAGGGTTTGCTACGCATTTTGCCTCTTCCTCTCACTCAGATCTTCTGTTTGGAATCATTCGAATACTAGTCGAAATACCGTCCAAATGGGTGCTGTCGCGGAGGTTTATCTTATGATGTGCAAGTATCTATATCTCTTGTATAAGTGGTGACATTTTCCGCTTGGCTAGAAAAGAAAAACGAAAGTGAAGGGTTCGGAGTGCTTTGGCGGTTTTTAAGTGTGATGAATCATGTAGTTTATAGTGAGTAAATAGGAGAAATTTGTGGTAACCACACTGATGACGATCATTTAGGAACTACTATGAGTGTCATATTGGAAACTTTGGACAGGAAGGGTGCGGATTTCTTGTCGGGAGCAAGACATGTGCTGTCACGTCGTATGTGAGGAATTCCACCTATGCATTGAGTTTAGAAGTCGATTGAGTCTCAAACTAAAAAGGTTCATATAAGACACATTCATCCACTCCTTTGAGGGGTGCAATTTTTTCATTACCCATTTTTCTTCTCCCATTGAAGATTCACATCTGCACAACTGCACAACCGCACAATCACAACATGTCTACGACTAGCTTCTGGACCCACGATGTCGCACCTATATATCTTCGCAGACGACTTCTTAATTATCAGGTCTATCATGTCAATATTCCTCTCACATTCGAATGCCACCCACGAACCTTTCGGACTTCGAACCAATACTCTCCACTGTCGTTACCAGTCACTCATCCTCACCTTTCCGTCCAACCGACCATATGTACAGCAGCGACTAGAATAGTCACGACATCAGCACTGTTATTTCTTCTCAAATCGACATACGTTATCGACTTGAATATTTCTTCGGAGCTTGGACCATTAACCACAATACTTCTGATTCACACGTCCTCAGCACGCTCACTACCTCCGTTAGACAGAACTCTTGTCGACTTGTTTTGCAGCATCATCAATATCTGGTTTTTAGCCTTGGGAGGTCTCTTTGCTTTGCTCGAACTTCGCAGAAAGCAGGCGCCGCAGCTTGAAGAGCCAAGAATATCGCAAAGCGCATTCTGGCAGAATATCGACCTTATTCTGAATAACATTTTTCCTATCACGTTGCCAGAGATCGATGGTCAACGAGACCAAGCCTGTCCGAAAAAATCAAACATTCACAGCTTACTGCTTCGAAGAGCACATCTCCTGCTCAACCATCATCTACGCAGCCTTCATTTTACTTCGGTAGAATGAAGAGAGCAGAAACGACGGATTCGGTCATATTGGTGACCAGTAAGTTGGTCAAGAAGCACAACACCTTCCAAATAGCGCACCGAGTGGTGGCATCCGACATGACTTCCGTGTCTCGCCCACAACCGCTAACATTACAAACCCTCACCTTAGGGACAACAATAGTAGATGTATCTGAGCCGGTTACGGTTAAACCGACAAATACCATCACGTCAGTCGTTACGTTCACGCCGATAATTTCAGTTACGGTAACCTCGACAAATTCAGAGGACCCTCCAGAGTTTATAGCTCCAACACAGACGCAGGAGAGCACACCAGCGTCAACAACTTTGGGAATTTCAGCACCTACGACCTCTCCTAGTAATCCTTTGATACCGAGTAGTACAGGAAGTACCCTGAAAACATCTGCAAGACCTTCCGTCACATCTGCGACGTCGAACGCATCCAGTCAAGTCACATCCAGCGCCTCAACCACATCGTCAGAAACCAGTACACCTACCGAACAAGCAGCGTCTTCCGGTAGGGGCAAATCGAAGGGTCCAGTAATCGGAGGCGCGATCGGTGCTATCGCTTTCCTTGTTCTTCTTGGGGTCTTCATCTGGTGGTACAAAAGAAGACAGGCCAAAGCGAGAAAGCCAAGAATCGTCGCTGGGTATAGGGCGGGAGATGGCGAAATCTCTAAACCAGCAGAAACTGGTCTTGCGAGAGCCGACTCTACTCCGAGTCGATCGTGGGTAACGACGCCTTCTGCGTACGAAGGGAAGAATTATGAGATGAGCCCGATATCACCGCCCTCTCGAATGAGTGAAAGCACCGCAGGAGGGTTTATGTCAATTGTCCCGGAAAGTACCGAGTATACTGCTTATAGCAAACCTCCCCCGACGCCGCCACCAACTTCAATTAAATGGGT